CAGTGGATCCCGGGTACAGTTGGACAAGACAAAGTGGTTCTAGAATTCCTCAGGGAGGGGCAGGGAGAGAAGCCAGCCTCATTTTTCCTTGCCTCATCTTTAAAAATGAAATTTCAAGTAAACATGGGGAAAAAAATCCTCAGCTCAGCTCAACAGAGAAAACAAATCCTCTTGGTCTGGAAACTGGAAAGTGGCTTCTCTCCGTCCCTGCATCTGCCAGAGAAGAGGAAGGGGGGCTTCTCCCTGACCCTAGGCCCTTTCCTCCTCGGCAGACACCAACCTAGGGCGAAGTCAGAAGACTGGCGATGCCCACTACCAGGAGCCCCAGAACGGAGGCACAGCCAGCACAGGCCTGAGCTCCAGGAGTCCGATGGCCCCAACTCACAGCTGGGAAACCGCCGCCCAGGGAGGCAGGAGGCTCTCACGGGCGAGACAGCAGGAAGAATGAGCAAGGCCTTAGTCCACACCCGGAGGGGGGGGGGGGGGGGGGGGGGGGGGGGGAGACACTCAGCTGGGCACGGCCGGCTACTAGGGGCACACTCTGCAGGCGTCTAGCCTGGTGTTGGGGATGGAGGATACCAGGCCTTTCACAGGGCACCTACCTTGCCCCCGTACTGCCCAGTGTCCCTCCAACCCCATGTTTTGGCTGAGCTCCTGCTGTGAGTGGTGAGCTGTGACCTGCCCAGCAGAGGGACAGAGACACGGCCTGCTCTCAAGAGCCCGCAGCCCAGAGAAACAGTGTGATGGCCCATCCCTGGGGGGCACTCAGGAGGCCAGTGGGGGGGCTTCCAATCCAGCCGGGAGATCAGGGACGCCTCCTGGGGAGAAATCTCCTGTAATGTTTTGAAGGAAGAGGAGAGCCTGAGGGGTAGACAGAGGCAAAGGCATGCCAGCCTGGGGAACAGCACATGCCAAGACCCAGGTTCCATGGTGGGCAAGGGCAAATGGGCTCCAGCCTGGAGGGAGTGGGCTGAAGAGCCGTGCAGTGGAGTGGAGGTGAGCTGGCCCAGGAGGCAGGGCGGCCTCCAGCCTGAAACCTGGGGAGAGTTTCCTGCAATGGGACCTGGAGGGTGAGTGAGGCCACAGGCACGTGTGCATGTGTGGCAAGAGTATGTGGGTATGAATGTTATGTGTGGGGTGAGCAGATGCATGTGTGTGCATGCATGCCAGTGCATGCATATACATGTCTATGTGTGCATTGTGTACACATGGATGCTTGTGTGAATTCACTGTATGACGTACATGGGTGTGTGTATGCACATGACATGGATGTGCATGCATGTGGGTAGGTAAACACAGGTGTGCACGGATATGGTGCACAAAGATATGTATGCATGCATGCACACACGGGTATGTGTATGCTTGGTGTGGGGGTGGGGGTGTGCATCAGATATGTGTGTGTGTGTGAGTGTGTGTGCATGCACGTCCGTGTGGAGGAAGGCAGTTCAAGGAGACAAGCACCTCCCCTCCTGGGCGGAGGCCACTTGTGTAGAAGAGCGCTGCATCCAGGAGGTGTGCAGTCAGCAGGCATGCATGCAGTTCCCCTCTCACAGCAGCCAGGGCCCAGGACTCAATGTAGGGCCCAGGTAGCCCCTGGCTGGACCCACCCTTCCCTGCTGGGCCCTATTTGTCACAGGGGGGACGAAGGGCAAGTACGCTTGGCAACCCCAGAATGCCCCACTTCTATGTGGTCTTCCTTCTGAGATCCCCCTTGCCCCTTCTTCCCACCCCCTCTACTGAGGCAGCCTGACTCCCCACAACACCCTCCCTGTCCTCCTTCTTGGTGCTAAACCAGGACCTGGTCACCACTGACACTCGGGCACAGGCAGTCTCTCCAGGAGCTTGCTGTTTCACTTGTTAGAGGATAATCGGGAGACGTTTGTCAAGCCTATTATTCAGTGTCTGGGGGTAAGAGGCGTCTCCAGCTCTTCAAACAGCTGCAATCCCTGGGGCCTCCTGTGCACACAGGCAGGCCTGCACTTAGTGAGCCCCGAAGCCCGGCCAAGGGCTCCTTGGCCCCAAGGACTCCTTGGGGGCCCAGCCCTTGTCCCCCAAGGCTCTGGGCCCTGGACCCACAGGAGTGCTTCCTCTTGCCTCCTCTGGGGTTGTGCCAGGGACATGTTGCCAGCTGTGAAACATTTTCAGCCTGAGATCAAAAGGCCAGCCAGGTGTCCCCCAGGGTCCCTCAGCTGGCCAGGCATTCCACATGCCCCTGGCCTGGCCTGGTGAGCTACTTCCTGGGCAGCAGAAGTGCCCTTCCTGTCTGCTCGGGCCCAGGGGCTCTGCATCCTCCCAGTTCCTCGTGCTAGGCTGCCCTGCCTGTGACCACAGGCAGAACTGAGTGGAGCCAGGGCCCTGGATGTCCCCATACCCCCAGATACCCCCAAAAGTGCTCCTCACAAGACAGGAACCAGTCCTCGTTTGGAGGAGGCCCACGTGGTTGGCCAGCTGCTGTGGGAGGAACTCTCCTACACCTACATCCCATGGCCACCACCTCCCTTTGGATCCAGAGCCCACTCCTGACCCCAGGGGGCACGGCCCACAGGGCTTCTCACTTTCTAGTAACTTTCTTTCATTCTCTAAAAGCACCACCTCCGGGAAGCCTTCCTTAACAATCGCACTCCCAGGCTGGGAGAGGAGCCGCAGGGCACTGATCGCATTCACTGAACCCAGCCCAGGGAGGCACCATCTGTCCTAGGCGGCAGGCACCTGATGCAGACAAGGGCCTTCGAGGTGCTGGCGGATGATGGAGAATGCAGGTGTGTGGATCCCCCCTGAGAAGTGCAAAAATCCCCAGATCTGTGGCCCCTTTTAGGTCTCCACGGCCAGGAGGATCTGTCCAAGCATGGTGGCTCTTTACCTTCACTGGGTCACACACCTCTCGCGGGCACTCGAGGATTTGCTCCCAAAGGGTCATAAATGCCTGGGGCTGCACTGGATGCTCAGCCCTGCTGAGGCAGGCCAGCCATCTGGAATGTTTGATTTTCAGCCTGTCCCTGGCTTGACCCCCACCACTCCCCGTGGTGCAGCATGGCTAACAAGCATGGTGGGGTTCTATGGCATCCACGTGGATATCTGTGCTAAGCCAGCAGTGGTCTCCTACATAAGGCTCTTGGAGCATTATGGAAGCTCAGAGAAGAAAGAAGTGGCCCAGGAGCATTTCTAGGCACTACTGGGGGTGCCCAGACCCCCTGCACGCTTTCCTAGTACCCAGAGGCGACCTGTCTTCCTCCCCCAGTCGCAGGAATGCCTCCACACCCATCGGTGGTTGCAGGGAGAGCTGCCTGGTTCGCCTGGGTGCGTTTCTGAACTGCTGGGAGGGAAGGTCCTGCCGCTCCTCTGAATGGGGAATGCCAGGCCTCGAGACCCAACCCTCCTCTCCAAGGTCTGTCTCCCATGGACTGGCTGCCTGGAGGAGGGATCAGCACCTGACAGGGGCCAGCTGGTGACAGAGCACTTCTGCGGAAAAAATGCACAGGGACATGGGACGGGATAAGCGGGGCCTACCCCAACAGCTCACTCTTAAGCCCCCCCGAAAAGAGGCATCCACGCAAAGCAGCCCGTCATCCAGGCAATCCGGTTGTGGGTGTTTGTCAGAGGTGGTTATTTTGATCCCCCACCCCTCGTCCCCTTTAAAAGCGGGGCCACGGAGCATAGGAATTAAACTTCAGTGATTGCCAACATGAATGCACAACTTGGGATCCTGCCCAGGGCTTCCACTGGCACCACCGTCATGAGTCATGCTCCAGCAGCGCCTGGAAGGGGGCAGAGGAGGGAACTGAGGCCGGGGATGGGGAGGAGGCTCTGTCCTAGAGCACTGACCAGAGATGCGAGCCAGCCGACACTCAGCAGGCCCCGTGCGCATGCTGGCAGCGTCGCGTTCTCCGCCAGGCTGCAGGAGGCTGGCTCTCCAATCAGGCCACAGACCCGGAGCCGGCCGGTGCTGCGCGCGAGTGTGCGCGCCCGCGTGTACGTGTGCCCGGGGGAGGTAAGGAGGCTCCCGACTTAGAGCAGGCTTCTGGAACTCACCGCCCAGGCCGACCGGCGCTCAACCCGTCCCACAGGCTGCAGTCGGTCCTAGAGAGGGCGCCCTAGCCCAGCGTGCGCGCCCCGCGCCACCGCCCCGGACTCCTCCCCGGCGCCGCGCCGGCAGGTTCGCCCAGGCGGCCGCGGGCTCCGGCTCCCGGGCCCGCTCCCCCCGGGCCGGCGGCGCTGGCCTGCCCGCCAGGCCGCCCCCACCCGCCCGCCCGCGCCCCGCCCCGCGCGCCCGCCCCGCTGCGCAACTCTACCCAAGTTGGAAGCCGAGCCCGGGCGGCTGCACTCGCGCCCAGAGCACGGTGGCGGCGGCGGAGGAGAAAGCGGCGGCGGCGGCGGCGCAGCTCCGGCGAGCGAGGCAGGCGCAGCGGCTCCCGCACGGCCGAGCGCGGACTGCGGGGGGCGCCCGCGCCGGAGCAGCAGGAGGAGGACGCGCGGCGGCGCCGGCGCCCTGCCCGGGAAAGTAAAGTTGGAGTCGGAGGCTGCACGAGGGCTCGGGGGCCCAGGGGAGCGGCGGCCAGCGCCCCGGCGCGCCGAGCCCTAGCCAACCGGATGGGAGGCGGAGCGCCCGGGCTGCCGCCGCCAGCAGCCTGCGCCCCGGCAGGGCGCTGGGGCCGCGGGGCCGCTCGGGCACGCCCGCTCCAGCGCCGCGGCGCCGTGGGCTCGCGGCCGGGGCGCTCCCCGTGAGTGGGGCGAGGGCGGGGCCGCGCAAGGACCCCGGGACTTGCCCCATCCCCCCGCCGCCGCTCGCTCCGGGAGCCTCCAGCTCTGCACTTACGCGCGCGGCAGCTGCGGGGAGCCCGGCAGCCACGCTCCCTGGCGCGCTGCTCGACCGCCGAGCCACCACGGCCAAGGGCCGGCTGCGGGGCGTCGCGGTCCCTGGCCGGCGCGCCCGAAGAGCAGGTGGCGATGCAGGCGCTGACCCGGGCCTCGGGGCACCCGAGCCGCCACGGCTGCGCCCCGGCTCCAGGGGGGACCGCGTAGCTCGCGGGAGGGCCATGGCGTCCCCAGCGCTGGCGGCGGCGCTGGCGGCGGCGGCGGCGGCGGGCCCCAATGCGAGCAGCGCCAGCGAGGGGGGCAGCGGCGTGGCCGCCAACGCCTCGGGCGCTGCTTGGGGGCCGCCCCCGGGCCAGTACTCCGCGGGTGCGGTGGCAGGGCTGGCGGCCGTGGTGGGCTTCCTCATCGTCTTCACCGTGGTGGGCAACGTGCTGGTGGTGATTGCTGTGCTCACCAGCCGGGCGCTGCGTGCCCCGCAGAACCTCTTCCTGGTGTCTCTGGCCTCGGCTGACATCCTAGTGGCCACGCTGGTAATGCCCTTCTCTCTGGCTAACGAGCTCATGGCCTACTGGTACTTCGGGCAAGTGTGGTGCGGCGTATACCTGGCTCTCGACGTGCTCTTCTGCACCTCGTCCATCGTGCACCTGTGCGCCATCAGCCTGGACCGATACTGGTCCGTGACGCAGGCGGTCGAGTACAACTTGAAGCGCACGCCCCGCCGCGTCAAGGCCACCATCGTGGCGGTGTGGCTCATCTCGGCCGTCATCTCCTTCCCGCCGCTGGTCTCGCTCTACCGACGGCCCGACGGCGCCGCCTACCCGCAGTGCGGCCTCAACGACGAGACCTGGTACATCCTGTCCTCCTGCATCGGCTCCTTCTTCGCGCCCTGCCTCATCATGGGTCTGGTGTACGCGCGCATCTACCGCGTGGCCAAGCTGCGCACGCGCACGCTCAGCGAGAAGCGCGCGCCCGCGGGCCCCGACGGCGCGTCCCCGACCACGGAGAACGGGCTGGGCGCGGGGGCGGGCGAGAACGGGCACTGCGCGCCCCCGCGCCGCCCGCCGGCAGACGTGGAGCCGGAGGACAGCAGCGCCGCGGCCGAGAGGCGGCGGCGCCGGGGCGCGCTGCGGCGGGGCAGGCGGCGGCGCGCGGGCGGCGAGTGGGGCGCGGACGGAGCTGATGGGCCGGGGCCGGGGACCGCCGAGCCGGGCGCGCTGGCCGCCGCGAGGTCCCCGGGCCCTGGCGGGCGCCTGTCGCGCGCCAGCTCGCGCTCCGTCGAGTTCTTTCTGTCGCGCCGGCGCCGGGCGCGGAGCAGCGTGTGCCGCCGCAAGGTGGCCCAGGCGCGCGAGAAGCGTTTCACCTTTGTGCTGGCCGTGGTCATGGGCGTGTTCGTGCTCTGCTGGTTCCCCTTTTTCTTCAGCTACAGCCTGTATGGCATCTGCCGTGAGGCCTGCCAGGTGCCCGACCCGCTCTTCAAGTTCTTCTTCTGGATCGGCTATTGCAACAGCTCCCTTAACCCGGTCATCTACACTGTCTTCAACCAGGACTTCCGGCGCTCCTTCAAGCACATCCTCTTCCGACGGAGGAGAAGGGGCTTCAGGCAGTGACCAGAGCGCTTCATCTCTCGAGGAGACCTTGGACAGCTCCGGGCGGAACGCGTGGGCGGGCGCGGCCCCAGCGGAGAAAGCAGGAGTGCTTCCCCAGAGAGCCGGGGGTGGATAGGCCTCCACGGCGCAGGGGAGGGCACCACAGGGCAGGAGTGTGGACGGCGAGACCGCAAGGGCCCCGGGGAGGGGGAAGGAGAAAGGGGAGACACCCCTCTGCCTTCTCCTCTCAGCAGGGGCTGCTTCTGGAGCTCCAGGCCTGCATCCAGCTCCAGGGGCCCCGCCGTGGTCTGGCTGTGAGGTCGAGGTCTTCGCAGAGGCATATGCAAACCCCCAAATGGGCGAGAAAGAAGCCCCCCAAATGCAACACCACCACGCATTCACCTCTGAGCAAGGGCTGACTTCCCCAAGACCTGGTGGGGGTGGCTGTCTGGAGGGGGCACGAGAGCTCCGACAATCTGCTTCCTGAAAGTATTTAAATGTTTGCCAAAAATGACAGCCAAAACGACCAAACTATTTTCTAAATAAACGTTTGTAATCTAAGTTGGGTGCAGCCGCCAGTACTTGAGCCTCCTGGGTTGGGGGTACCTTCTCCATCCTTGCCCTGCCTAAGCTCCCCACCGTGGGTGGAAGGAGGGCACTCCACGAACCCCTCCAAGTATGAGGAGGGGCACTTTTGTTTAAAGCTAAATGTTTTATATGTATACAAAATATACACTCAAAATTCTTGTGCTGTAACTGACTAAGAGGCAAGTGAAATCAAGAACCCCAAATTGGTGCCAAATTGAGATTCTGGAGCACTGTGTTCCCTCGTCCCGTCTCTGCTCACTGCTGCCCCGCACTGCCCTGTTCCGGGAGCCCCTTCCCCAGGGGCTGGGGCCGGTGATCGCAACCCAAGGCTCTGCTCTCCATCCCAGTGACTTTGCGCCAGTTCCCCACCTTTGAACACTTTGTAGATTTGCCACATGGGGGAGAGGGAGTGGGTGAGACCTGCGCAGAAGAAGGGCCCACCCACAATGGGGTGGGGTCGAAACTCAGGCAAATCCCCAGACCTTTATTCCAAACAGAGGCCTTGACCAATTTCATATAAATTTTGAACAAGGACGCCAATAAGAAATAGGGGTTGGAAAAATCTGCATCAGCTGGAAAGGAGGCTGGAGAGGCTGCCTGTTTCCCCCATTTGTGTTAGGGCTTCCCCCATACAACCCAGGTTTGGCACCATGCTCAGCCTGCACCCTCCACCCCCACCCAGGGGCTCACCCCAACCAGGGCTTGAGAGAAAAAAGCAGCATGCCCCCAGGGTGGGCTCCCCCAACTCTCCCAGCCCCTGGCGCAGCCCAGGAGCTCCTGGGATACCTGGGGAGGAGGGGGAGGCAGAGGTCCCCCAAAGCGCCTGCACCTGCCAGCATGCTGGGGAGCCCTGCTGTGACAGCACAATCCTCCTGTCCCTCCCCCGGGACCCCTTTGGCTTTCACTATGCACCCTCTCCTTCCCAGCCCCTGCCTACATAGCTCTCTGTCCTTGGCCTGGGGTGGCCATGGGTCTGTCCTAGGGAGAGGTTAGCCCCGCGTGTCCTGCCTTTCATACTCAAACCCCCAGCCCCACAATCAGCACAGAGTAGACTCCTTTCCTGGTCTGACTTGCCAGGGCTGTCCCTTGAGGAACCCCCAGCCCGGGAGCTGCTGGGCCTCATCACCCCAGCTTAGAGGTCCTCAGGATGTCCCAACCAGACTGTGCCCACACTAACTCATGTGGATACGCTCACACCTGCTGTGCTGAGGCTCTGTGGAGGCTGCAACGGGAGCAGAGCCCTGGGGCATGTGGGGAAAGGGGTGGTCTATAGCCAGCGGAGTTGATTGGAACATCCCTTACCTCCCGCCACTGGGTAGGGGGCCTGGACATGTTCGTGTCTTAGGCCTGGCTATCACAGGATTGCTGAGCTAGCTCAGACAAATCCCTGCCTCTCTGGGCCTCAGCACCCCTCCTGTGAAGTGGGGTGGTTTCTGCAAGCTCAGGCCCTGCCAGGCCTGCCAATCTCTGGTCCAACCTGCCAGCTGAATCTGGGTTCCCCAAGGGGTGATCTTCCTTGGAAATGGCATGGCCAACACCGGTATTGTGTCTGAGCTGCAGGGCCTCCTCAGGGCAGTGGGGTCGCTACACGCTATGCAGAGCTCCTGAGGGGTGCGCTCTGGTCTGTGGCCGGAGCTCAGGGCGGGCACCACCCACCGAGGAATGTCAGCATCCTCTTTTTTCCCTCCCTGATCCCAAGCAGTGCCCTTGCAGGGCTGGTGTTGGGGCTGCGGGTTCCTGGTGCTCAATGCCCCGCCAGCCAACAGATGCTGACCACTCCAGCGTAATAGCTGCCCGGACAGACTTTCTTTTCAGTGGATAAACAGAACCTGGGTTCTCACCCTGTCCTGCCTTGCTGCAGGGAAACGGGCCACTGCCCGGCCCCGGGTCCAGCTGCCACCATGGAGTGAGGAGGGTGCCCGTGAGCACCAGCTCCTCCCACTGCGGCCCTGGAGCCGTCCTTTGGGGGGCTGTCTGGTGCACGGAGTAGGGGCTCAGACTTCTGGCCCTTGCCCACTAGTTGTCCAACAGGTCAGCCCACAGGGGCCTGTCCATTCATACAGGGCTCTCCTCTCCTTTCTGCATGTCCACATCTACTCCATGGTTGCCAGGTTCACTGCCAACCCTGGTCAGGCCTGGAGCTGACCATCTGCTCCAGGACCCACAGTTGTGAGGGGCAGTGTACACCATGAACCCAGAAATGCCAGCCCCAGAGCCGGTGCCCTGGGCTCCTCAGCTCCAGGGTCCTTGAACAGGGATGTCCCCAGGCCTCACAGCTGGAGAAGCATTTTACCTGCCACTTTCCTACCTGAGGCTTCCCCTTCAGCTCTTGGGGCATTTCAGACAAAATACAAAGAGGTCCACAAGAAGGTCAAGGAGGGCTGGGCTCTGGGTGGGAGGTGGGCTCCGACGCTGTACCCGCACCACGCCTCTCACTCATGCAGTTCTGAAGAGATGTACATAGACATATATTTGTTTAAATTAACTCCTGTATTTTAATTCAAGTGTTGAGTTTGTAGAAAAGGGGAAAAAACAATGATTCAAATCTTCTGTCACAGCTCAGTATGGAACTAAAAAAAAAAAAAATTACTCAGTGCAGGCAGGATCCATCCTGAGAAAAGTAGCTCCTGTCTTTGAATCCACCTTGGCCCGGGGTGCAGGCTGAGGGGCGGGGGAAACATGTCACTGTGGCACTTGCTGGCGAGGAACGGGGCCTTCGGGCTGTGCTGGCAGCCGGCTGTATTTTTATATCACGTCTTTCGGCAAGGCTCAAATATTCTACTGCAGCCTCCGATCAAAACACACAGCACCTGCAGGCCCATCTTGCATCTGGTTGGGCAGCTGTGGTCCTCTGCTGAGCCGACCCCTGACTCCTGGCACTTCCAGCGCCCCCCAAACCAGGGGGAGGGAGGTGGCGGCCAAGCAGGAGCTAGCCTGTGCCCCCTGGGCCCCAGAGTCTCCACAGCCCCACTCCCGTCGTGCTCCCTAGGCAGTGATGGGCAGCCCTGGGGCTTGCTGAGGGGCACTCAGAGGATGCGGGGGGTGCTCATAGGGATGGGAGGTGGGAGTTCCGCAGTAAGAGAGATCTGGATCGTTGGAGGGACCTGGGTCCCTGCTCTGGGCTGCCATGAGCTGCCCACAGTCCTGAGGGTCAGTCTCCCATTGGCCAGCTGAGAGCATCAAAGGTACAGAAGTGTCAGGTTTGCCTGACAGGGGCCCCAGCAGGCACCCTGGGTCCATTCCCCATGTGGCTGCGACCCCATTTCCCAACTGTAAATGGATGGTACATCCCTTCCTGGCTGGCAGGGGCAGGGGTGGGAAAGGGGCCAGGACCCAGTCAGCCAGCAGCACCGTGCCTCTGAAACCTGCTTGGGAAGCAGAGTGAACTGCTGACTCTGGGCCAAAAGACAGCACTGGAGACTGAATGTGTTTCTTTCTTGCTGGAAGGCTTTGGGGCTGCTCCCAGTAAAGCTTTAGGTACCATGGGCTTATTGTCAAGATAAGGGATCACCACGCAGGGCGCTTTGGGAGTGCCGGCCCAGAAAGCCTGGTTTGAGGGCATCCGGCTCTCACGCCTAAGCACAAAATGTGCCCCGAGCTGCCTGGCAGCAATGGAGAGAAAGGAAGCAGGGTAACTATCTGCTCTCTGCTGCCAGGTTGGCAGGAGAAGCTGGGGGCTGCAGGTCAGCTGCTGGGCCCAGCTGGGTCCCTCCCACAGGCCTCCATGGCTTGGGGAGTCTGCCTCTACACAGGGCTTTGGTGACCTCAGGGAGCCCTGGGGGGCTTTCATGCCACAGTACCTGTTGGGGTTGGGGAATAGCCAATCCCAGCCCCTGGGTCCAGCCCCCATTACCAGCTGCACCAGATGGGGCCACTTACTCACTTAGCCAAGCCCTGGGCCAGGCCCCCAGTACGGGGTGGCTGTGAAGTCGTAGGGGTGGGGCCCAAGGTCCGGGATTGTGGCTACACGGCTGTGCCACCCACAGTACCATGGTGCAGAGTGAGGTTTGGGGGCTGCAACACCTACCAGGTGCAAACCCCTACGGCCCCACCTGGCTTCCACTGCCCAGGGACAAGCCAAGCTACTCTTGGTCTCAGGCTGTCAGCAAGCTGCCCTCCCCACTCGCCCAGCTGCCCTGTGCACCCGCCGGCCTAGGTTAACCCACTGTGCTCTCTGCCAGGAGCCCCTTCCTGCTCTCACCTGAGCATGTCTGTGTGCCCTGCAAGACTCAGGCCAGATCCTATCTCCAGAAAGCCCTTTGGAGACTCCATCCCAGCCTCCCCACCACGTGTCTCCCCGGCTGGGCCAGGGACCTCTGGACAGTGTGCCCCCAGGGCAGGTGGCCAGGCAGAGCAGGCCTCCCTCAGTGACGCAGGCTGTGCTTCTCTCTCATCTCTGATCCCCAGTCCAGAGAGCAGCCAGGGCACTCCCACACCCGGGACACCATCCCCCAGGTCATGAGGGAGCACTGAGTGGACAGCCCCCCGGTCTGGGCTTCACGCTGCTGGGAAGAAAATTCCCTCAGCAAGAGGCAGGTGCGCCCAGGCTGGGTTCGGGGTTTCACTGCGCACACAGGCCCGGCTGGGGGAGCCATGTGTTCACATATCAGTGGATGGGTCTCCTGAACTCCATCTGCCATTTAATTAGCTCTTAACTGTGTAGCACCCCCAAAACAAGAGACTCAGAGCTCTGGGTGGAAGACCCCTGAAGGCAGCCCAGTTGATCACCCCCTCCACGTTTTGCAGAGAGGCTCCAGGGGAGGCATTAAGGATAATAAAACAGAATAGACATGATTGTGAGCCCAGCAGCCAGTGCCTGCCACAGCCCTCTGCATGCGGCTTCTCACAGTTCTGCCATCTGGGGATGGATGGTCCCATTTTACAGTAGGGAAAACTGAGTCCTGAAGAGGGAATGACATGACATGAGGAGAGGCTGCCTGGAAGCCAGAGGCGGGGTCACTCACTGCCCCCCG